GAATATTTTCGAAAACTCAATAATTAGCAATAAAGCAACACGATATATCAGCACCTTTACTTCGCTTATATTATTTTTTCGTTCCTTAAGCACGATCGTGACTTCGTGATCATGTTGGCTGATATGAGAATCAATCGAATCGTCGAAAAATCTATAACTGGTATCTAAGAAGTTCGCCGGCCGACATCGTGACGAGGAAGACTTTCTCCTCGGCGGGGGCGCATGCAATGAAGTGACCTGCATACCTGGAAGGAACCGATAGAGTAATCGAATGACCCGGTGGTCTAGTTATAATTGCATAACGCGTTGTCTGACTTAGCGACGTTTTTAACGAATATCGAAACTTTCTTGTTTGTTAAACAGACGTACACTGTTAAATTTATAATGTCAGATTATAATTTCAATTTGAATTATTTTTATTCATTTCTATAGGTCACCATTGCTCTTATTCAATATGTCGTTAATTCAACTAAAAACAACGGAATAATCGATTTAAGGAGATGTAACCGATTTAAGATGTTTCTTTATTATTTTAATTTATTATTTATTAAATAAATACATTAATATGAGACATTGTTTATTTTAAAATTAATTAAGCAATTTAACTATAGAAATGGATTTATTTACATTTGATATATATATAAATTGAAAATGTTATTTATTTAAGGGATTGAGTTACTATTGCTACTTTGACATCTAATAATGTAAAAAACAATTAATTAAACAAAACTTTTTGATTATAAAATTATTTCTGTGACTGCTAGAAGAATAATAAACAAAAATGATAAATAAATCGACTTTAGAAGAAGACTTTCCCATGTCCTGAAGAAAATTTCCATGTCCTTTACAATGCTCCCACAATCTTGGAGTCTGCTACTCCGAGCGTCTGCTAATTTATTTGTAGAAAATTAACTCGAAAATCCCGGTGGGACCTTTGAAACCATTCCGTCCGTCCAACGATTCGATCTTCAGGTCGTGTCAGTTGCAATGAAAGAAGAGGAACCCACGAGTATAAGATCGGGATCACATCAGATCCTTCGAGCGTGCAACCAACTATTATATTCGCCGTCCATGGAGGCGAACCACAGATCCATGTAGAGATATTTCGCGCGAGGTTTCGCACATTTAATTGATGGTGCTCAACGACTAAAGGACGAACTTTTCAAAAATATAATATACGATGTAACTAAAATAACGACATCTCCGAGTAATAATTGTTAAAGAACGATTATTATCTTGTTGTATTGTTTGTCGTATTTTACATGAAAAGAAAAGATTAGATCCAGTGACAAAATTCAAAATTTGTAAATAATGTTTAAGTTTTAATTTCTTTATGATTCTGGACTGACTGTTCCATAGCAAAATGCCTTACTCGCTTCCGTGATGCAATTATCTTGTGTTGGGGACCACCCATGGCGGTTAATTACGACGGAATTTTTCATACAACTACAGGGTATCTGAAGCATCGTGTCAGCGTATCTAGAACTGTCAATCGCAGTAATTCGGGGCTGTGATTTACGTGATGGCAAAATGTGAGAGATCTACGGTGATCAAGCCGGCGATTAGATATTTCGAGGTGCATCCAATCGTTGCATCCGCTGATTGCGAGACTCGTATGCAGATTCTAACACGGATACTACAAGGTACAGGGCTTGTAAAGATGTAGGGAACTTCGATTGACCAGTATACACAAGGTAAGGGATATGAGGCAAGAATTAATAAGAATTTAACGAGATTCAAAACGACGAATGATTATTATAATGATGTTCTTGCAAACTAATAAATATTAATCACCTGCCAAGTTTCAGTTGTATTTTTATATACTCTCTAAATCTCGTAGAATGAAATCTCACTCGAAAAGACTGAAAATTTAGCCTGTTTTGAAAAAAGAATGAAAATACAATCTTGTTTAAGAGTGGCAGATTTTCATTCTTTTTAGAATAAGATTACTTCAAAGGAGTGAATCTCATTCCAAAAGAATAAATCTCATTTTAAAAGAAGTAAAAAAATCTGTTATTCTTGAACAAGAATGGTCCTATTTCATTCTTTTTTCAAGACAGACTAAATTTTCAGTGTCTTCGAGTGAGATTTTACTTCACGAGATTTAAAGAGTATATAAAGCATACGCGGAAAAAACGGTTTTGCTGAAATTATCTAAAAATTTGTAGCTAAAATACAGATCTGAAAATGTTTTTGTTGGTCAATATAATATTATGTGACTTTCAACGTTGTTGACGACACTGCAAAACGTTTTGGCATAGTAATCAGTTTGTGCGTCCTACATATTTATTTTAACTAAATATAATTATTTTAACTAAACAAAATTATTTTCAGATTTATATTTATTGTAATTAAATTTTTAGATTTTATTTCAACAAAATCCTTTCAATATAATGTTTAAACCTATGATCGCATGGGCGTCTTCAATTACTGTTTAGAAATCAATGATTAATGAACAGCATAATGTGATGTAGATAAATAAAAAACCCGAATACATAAGAAATAGGTTAAAGAAAATATTATCTTTCTACCGTCTCCTAAAACTCCGGAGTAGAGTGATTTACGGGAAGAAAGATGTATCACTCCGAGATTGAAGAGGCTTGTCTTGCGCGAAAAATATTTTCAATTTAACATATGAGAAACAAAAAGAAACACGAGAGCATTTCCTCGCCGCGCAATTTTGTACTATTATCCACAGTATTCTTTGAAAGTTCAGCATCAGCAACAAATCAGTGATTTAATCGTTTCTGACACAAGTATTTACGTTGTATGTATGTATATTTGTATGTGTTTGTATGTGTGAATATGGAAAATATCTTAGGAATAAATTAATTTCAAGGATCGCTTCTTCCTGAGCGATTCGTAATCGAGCGACTCTCGTTCGGTTAGTACGTTTTGTCGTATTTTACGTCTCTATTAATGCATATGTGCGTAAAAGGATTTGCGTGAAGGAACGTCGGCATACACAATTTTGTCTGACGTAAGTATTAGTTCTTTAATCCACATAGACGTTTCTTCTTTTTCGACATTGGACGCCGCGCATTGTCCACGAATAGCAAGCGTATCCTGTACGTAACGGACGTCGGACACAGGCTAATGCGATGTCGTAATTCTCGTTTTTATACCCGCAGCACGTCCCACCGTAAGACGCGAGCATTTATCTTATTTAAATCGCACGCTTTTGTGTATCCGCGAGGATACGTGCCACGCGAGGATCGTGTCGCTCGTTTTGGATTAGCGCGCGCGTTCCGTTTCCACCGGGAGAGATTGCTCGCCCAGCGCTATTTCTCAGCTGGAATTGCGAAAATCTACCTTCGGGGATATTCGTGGACAAAGAATTGTAACTCATGTGGCGATTCTATCGCCACATGAAAATACGACGCGTAAATTTTGACAAATTTTGGAATTTTTTTTCGTAAAATTCAATCAATTGCTCTGAAAAAGTATAAGAATATAACGTAAAATAAATTTTAATATGGTTGTAAAATTCTTTTAGATAATAAGTTTATACATTTAGATTCAGTAAGAAACTAAAGGTAAGACTAATTATGTTAAAGAATCTTATAACAGTTGCAAAGCTGCTTTATCTGATGAATGCAGCCAATGTTATGTAACGTTTTTTTTGATATTCAATATGGTAAAAAAAAATTTGACTGTGATGATGAAATATATATTTTTATAAAATATATTTCATTAATTGTAAAAAATAGAATAAATGGTTTATTTGCTATAAGAATCAAATTTTATTTTACCATATTTAAAGATTTATTTTAGTAAAATAAATATCATAAATAAATTTTTAAGTATCTCACAAATAAATTTTTAAGTATCTTTTTCTCTTTGATAGTGTATTTGTTGTTTATAGTTTATATGGATAATTAAATCTTACACGTAAATATTCAAAATGTCTCATAGTTTTAATTAATATTCAGAAATTTTCTATTTTGAATCTAACTACAGTTTTCAATATTAGACTCAATAAAAATCGCTTAGGTAAATTACATA